AAATAAATCAAATAAATTTGCTCAATGGAAACACGTCAATTTCGAAAAAAATTACGTTTTTCGACAAAATGTGTTTGTGCTAGGATGAGGTGGTTTTTTTATCGAAATTGGTGTTTCGCAAAACTGCAACGCAAACACTTTTTTTCACATCATGGGAGTCACGTGATCAACAACTGGCTGTTTCTACTGGCGAAAAAGACGATGAAGAAGAAGATAACAGGAAGTAGAAGTATCACCAAAGTAGTAAAAAAAGGTAGTAAAATCACCGACTACAATTTCCCAAAAACACAGCATACGTAGCCGCTCCCAAGTAGGGACTTGTCTCTGGAAAGCCTCGATAAAAGACGCCGACGTCTCCTCTGATGATGAGCGCTAGTGTCGTGGTAGCAACATGCTRTGTGTTTACATCCATCGCYRCCATGTTTGTATTCACGTGACTTTAATAGTATTTCTTACTTAATGAAAACACCGCAGTTGTGAAACTGTTTTTCTACATTAACAGAAAATCAACAAAGTTTTGTGCACATTTGTAATGGAAACGCAGCTACTGTCACGTTTTACACAGCTTATGTAAATGTTGTCCAACACGTTGCTGTAAGTTGCACAAATTAGGTGTAAGTTGTGAAAATGTCAGAATGATGCACGACAATAATTTTGGACATGCTGCTGATGAGTGAGGCATAAGTTACAGGTATGCTACAGATAATTTATGCATCAGTTCACATGTTTCAGGTAAGTTTGTCTTTTATTCATAAGTGATTTAAGTCCAACACCAGCGGGACACTTCTGAAGCAGCAGGTAACTTTTTTAACACCTAAGTCTTTATTCAACTGACTCATGTGCAAGTCAGTTTAACTTTTTTAACAATTACTATGTATTATAATTATAATAACAATAAACTAAGCAACCAAAATCAACAGAACCAATGCCAAAAAAACATTTTTTGTATTTCATCAATAAATGCATTGATCAAAATAATGTCCCCGTCTGGTTTAAAATACAAACAAGTTTATTTCACCAGAACCTTTTTTTTAATCGTTTAATCCTGTATTGAATTTAAAATTTCAGATCTTTATGATCAACTTTAAATCTGACACTTTGACAGAAAGAACAGCAGGTTGTGATGAAAAAAATTACAAAACAGTCACATCTTTACTTTAATCCTGATCATAACCAACAAATATATGTTTTGCTGTTAATATTGTTTAATTCTCAAAAGTAAAGTAACATCTGTGAGTGGCAGTGAAGGAGCTGCACACAGTGATCTGTGGGGTTTAAGGATGCAGGTTTCAGGTGCTCTGTGGCTGATGATCAAATTGTGGCACAATAACACACCATGTGTGTCAGATCACACACAGCTGTTGATCGATGTTGTTGCTGCAGCGGCCCGGGTCTCTGTYTTAAAGACCACCAGATTAATCTCCTGCGCCCACCTCGTCCTCTCAGGTGGAGCGTGAGAATATTTCTGTGGATCATCTTTTCTGACATCTGGTTTTAAAATATCTGCCAGCTTTGTTTTGCCCTCTGTTAATTATTTTTTACATTTTAAAACTCAGTCTGACAGATATGTTGTTTTTATTAGCCCCGCTCTCAGACTTCTTCCCCGACATGTTGACAGCTGTCAATCAATCATCGAAGGACACGCCCACACATTCTGACAGACGGTTTTCAATTCAATTCAATTCAAT